GAGCCTCAGGCCACCCAGATGCCCTCTGATTCTACCCCTCGTTCCCCGGCGGGAAGGAAAGGGTGGGGAAATGAGAGGGTTGGGGCCAGGCATTGGGTTCCCCTACGGCTCGAGTCTGCCCATGGGGAAGCCAGTGTCCTTCGCCTGGCCCCATGACTCCTCTGAATGCCCAGGCAAACCGTCGCCATTCATTTGTACAGTTTTTGGGAAGAGAAGTGGGAGCGCAGTCGTTCCGAGCCTGAGGGCACGAGGACCACGGCCAGCTCCCCTGTCCCTTACGGGGTCGTCAAGTCCCGTCGAGTCCCGTCTGCCATGTGGAAGATGACGACGCGTGCTGGAATAACGGACTGGCCGGACCTTGTAGGGAGCAGATGGAGAGGTGAGAGAAGGGCCTTCCACGCGATTCGCTCTCGAACTTCAGCCTCAAGGGAACCGAGGGAGCGAAAAGGTTGCTCAAAGTGATAAAGGACACCTGCAGTCGCAAACTATAGAGCTGCGTGACCCAATCTAGGTGAGAGGAGGGGCTTGGGGCCTCTTCCGCACGAATAGTGTTCCATTCAACACCTTCCTACGTGATGCAACTTTATAGCGCAAAAAGTGAAAATACAAGGGAGCAAAAAGCAGCCCTGCTGAACCGAGAGCCCGAACCTCGAGAGTCTACATCTGGTGTTTCGTTTATTTATTTAATTATTATTTTTTGAGTTGTTGTCTCACTCTGTCGCCCAGGCTGGAGTGCAGTGGCACACTCAGGGCTACTGCAGCCTCCCCTGCTGGGCTCAGGCGATCCTTCCGCCTTAGCCTTACAAGGAGCTGGAATTACAGGCGTGCGCCACCACGCCCGGGTAATTTTTTTGATTTACTGTAGAGACAAGGTCTCGCCATGTTGCCCAGGCTGATCTCGAATCCCTGGGCTCAGGTAATCCTCTCGCCTCCGCCTCCCAAAGCACTGGGATTACAGGCGTGAGCCACCGCTTCTCGCAACATCTGGCGTCTTAAAGCCCCGACCGCAGACTGTGGAATCAGAAAAGTTCCCATCCCGGCTTTGCGGTGACTCGGGAGCGGCGCTTCCGGAGACGGGAGGAAAAGACCCTTGCAAGAGGCCGCCGGGAGTCGGCCCCGGAGAAGGCCCGCCCCCAGCCCGCCTCCTTGGAGGGGACCGGAAACACCCAGCCTGGCCCGGAAGTAGTATTGATTTGGTACACGCGAGCCGAGGCATGGCTGCTCATCGCTCCGGTCCGCTGAAGCAGCTCAATAAAGCTCATAAAGGCGGGCGGCATCGGGGTCGGGGATCTGCACAGCGGGACGGCAAGGGTGAGAAAATAGGGTGGGAGAAAGAGAAGCTATTTAGGTGGTATTAACTTTTTCCCCATGTGTAGACAGAGCTACCGTCTCCGCGTTGGGCCCCGCGCGAAAGGCCTCTTCTAAGGTCGGCGGATAGGGGTCCCTTTTCTTGACCTTTTTGTGTTGCTGAACACAACAGTCCCTTCTGCTCTGCCCTCCAGGCCGTCTAGCGCCGAAAATCCTAAGCAAGAAGGTGAGAAAAGAACTCAGCAGGGTAGACCAGAGGCATCGCGCCAGCCAGCTCCGAAAGCAGAAGAAGGAGGCGGTGAGAAGAGCGGGATTGGGAAATGGTGCCACTTCTCAACCATTCTAGGTGGCTAATACCTCGAACTAGAAAATATGACCTAGGGAATGGGCCGGACATATAATAACTTAGAGCACGTGTCTGGCTTGCCGGTCTGGCACTGGAGCATTCTTTTCTTTGGTCACAACTTCTGCCACTCGGCTGGTATAAATGCAGCCTTTTAAAAGAGATGCTGGTGAGAGTTGTGGGGAGGGAGCATCTATACTGTTGGAAATGAAGTACTGAGACATAGATGCTTTCTGTTCCTTTCTCTTCTCAGGTTCTGGCAGAGAAGAGACAGTTGGGCAGCAAGGATGGCCCTCCTCATCACGTGCTGGTGGTCCCCCTGCACGAGAAGATATCCCTGCCAGAGGCCTTTCGGCTCCTTCAGGATAGGGACACTGGAACAGTACACATGCATGAGTGGGGAAGCTCCCATAGCTTTATGCTGCTATGCCCCCGCTTGAAACATCGGTGGTTTTTCACATCTGCAAGGCCAGGTTAGAGTATATGGTGATTTTTTTTACCATTATGTTTGAGTAGTGGTAAATTTTCTTAGTTCAACGTACTGGTGCTGACCACTTGTTACTGTGTTTTTCTACTCCCAGGGGATCTGCACACTTTGTTAGACATGGGTAAAGTAGCTGATACCATCCTGTTCCTCCTTGATCCACTAGAAGGCTGGGACAGCACCGGGGATTACTGCCTTTCCTGCCTCTTTGCTCAGGGCCTTCCTACCTATAGTAAGTGAGTTGGAATATTGGAGGCCAGGGAAGAAAGTGAATTAGTATTTATTGGGCACTTATAATTTGCCAGGTACTATGCCTGGTATTTGATATAGGAATATAACTGAATGGGTTGTATTCAGCTGGTGGTGGGGTGTTCATGTACAGATTAAACTTGGTCTGTTGTTTACAAATTATCAGTCAAGGTACCTTTTTATTTCTGGCTGTCTTTTGCCCAAAGAAAGAAGAATTTGAAGGTTGATTTCACTGTGAAATTTCTTTAGGGTAGTTGAGTGTTGGATTTCTCTGGGCTTACAAGTGAGTGAGCTTTTGGGTTGTTTGTGAACCATAGGGGAGGTTTTCATGTAGTGAAGCAACACGTCATGAAGCCCTTTCTGTTTTGCTTACAGCATTAGCTGTTCAGGGGGTTTCTGGCCTCCCACTAAAGAACCAAATAGATGCCCGAAAGAAGCTAAGCAAAGCAGTGGAGAAGCGCTTCCCAAATGACAAACTCCTCCTGTTAGATACCCAACAGGAGGCAGCGATCCTGCTCAGGCAGTTGGCTAACCAGAAGCAGCGACATCTTGCTTTTCGCGATCGGAGGGCCTACCTGTTTGCCCATGCTGCTGATTTTGTGCCTTGTGAAGAGAATAACTTGTTGGGCACTTTGAAAATTTCAGGCTATGTTCGTGGGCGGACTCTAAATGTAAATAGCTTGCTGCATATCACTGGACATGGTGATTTCCAGATGAAACAGATAGATGCCCCCGTGGACCCTTTCCCTTTAAATCCTAGAGTAATTAAATCCCAAAAGGACCCAGGCATGGCAATGGAGGTAAGACTGATATTCTTAAAATACATATACTGTATTTCATATGTAAGTTGGCACAGGATGGAAATTTAAATTCAGAGAAGGTCGTCTGTACACAGATGAATGAGGAGACTGCTCATTTGAATAAGGCAATAGTCAATTACAATTTTTTTTTTTTTAGTTGGAGTCTTACTCTCACCCATACTGGAGTGTAGTAGTATGCTACTGCAGCCTTGATCCTTCCACCTCAGCCTTCCAAGTATCTGGAACCATAGGTATATGCCACCACGCCCAGCTACAAGGCCCGTCTCAAATATGTTGATAAATCACATATTTATCCAGCAGTTCCTAGGTACACTAAATTGCAGTTGGCTCTGAGTTTATAGAAGACACACGAGATGTGGTCACTTTCCTTAAATAATTTACTTGGGTCAGAAAAAAATGGCAAACATCTGTGAAATAAAGATTGAGAAAATGGTTAAGGTACGGACTTCTTGTGGAGGTAAAGAAAGGCTAGCAGACCAGGCGCAGTGGCTTACTCCTATAATCCCAGCACTTTGGGAGGCCAAGGTGAGAGGATTGCCTGAGCCTAAGGGTTTGAAACCAGCCTGGGCAACTTGGTGAGACCACATCTCTACAATAAATAAAAAATTAGCCTGGTGTGATGGCGCGTGCCTGTAGTTCCAGCTACTTGGAAGCCTGAGGAGGAAGGATCACCTGAGCCCAGCAGGTTGAGGCTACAGTGGCCATGAGCAAGTCACAGCACTCCAGCCTGGGTGACTGAGACTCCAACTCAAAAAAAAAAAAAAGAGAAAGCAGACTAGCAAACTTCAAAGAAGAGAGTGGACTTGAGCCAAGTATTGAGAAGGATGAATGTGATTTATGAGTTAAAGAGAGATCAAAAATATCCTAGAAGATAGAGACAATACTAGGCACAGTGATGGGTCAAAGGGTTTCTTTGAAGAAATCAACTTGGAGGAAGTGAGGTATATAATGCATAGATAGGAATTGGACCAGATTAAGAAAACCCTCAATAGCCAAGTAGAGGTATTGATACTTAAAATGCCTAGGAAATTAGAGAATGGCCATTTGAAAATTTTTTCTGTTTTATTCATCTTGTACAAGAGGACTGAAATTTCTCGATCTTTTTGGTTACTATGTTAGATTTATTTAGATTTTAGGTTAATGTTGGACTATCACCTGCTTTTGTTTTTCAGATTTGTGCTGCAGATACTGTAGATGATATGGAAGATGATCTTAAGGTCCTAATGAAGGCAGACCCTGATAGACAGGAATCCTTGCAAACAGAGGTTATCCCAGATCCAATGGAAGGGGAGCAAACCTGGCCCACTGAGGATGAGCTGAGTGAGGCAAATGGTTGGTATTGGCAAACTTGTTTGTAATTTATCTAACCTGGAATTGTGGATTTCGCCGAGCTGCTCACATTGAGGACAGGACCCTCTATGTGAGATGGGAATGTAGTTGAAGGTGTGCCACCTATTGTTATCTCCAAATGCTGTATGTTGGCAACTGAGCAAACATTGGACACAACTTTGCTCCATTTCTCAAAATTACTTGTGTTAATGTTTTATAAAAAACAGATAAATAACATTGGATTCATTGCAGGGTTTATTTAGTTGTGTAAGTATTGCTAATTGTGAGGCAGCTGAATTGAATTTGGACGTGGTGTGTTTTACTTGTGTCTGCTAGAGTTACCTGTGTTGGCAGCAATATATAGTACGCTGCCTAGGTGAGAATAATCTGAGTGATAGGGAAAGGGGTATATAATTTGCTTAATTTTTTGGGCTTTTACAGATTTCTTGAAGGAAAGTTCCAAAGTGGTAAAGAAGGTCCCCAAAGGAACATCCAGTTACCAAGCTGAATGGATTTTGGATGAAGATGGCCAAAGTGATGGGGAAGGAGATGAATATGATGATTTAGAACATGAGGATTTTATGGGAGAGGAATCTCAGGTAAGGATATGGGCTTCGAAATTAGAAAGTGGCCATTTGGAAAATTTTGACAAGTTTTAGTCTTCTGTTTCATTTATCTCCAACGTGAGGACTGAAATACATGAGGCCACTTTTGTGTACAGCTCCAAGGCAAAGTGCGGTCCTGATTTTGAGGGGGCTTGTGGTCAGTTTCTTAGAAATGACTTATAGTTGCCAGGAATGAGACTTTTATAATTTAGTCTGCATTAGAGTTTATATTGTTTGGGAATAGGCATCTCATAAAATTATTTTATTCTTAGCTTATTGGCCTTTGGAGTAGAGACCAATGTGGGTTTCTTCCTAAATAACTGTAATCCTTTATTCTATAGGATGAGAGTAGTGAAGAGGAAGAAGAGGAATGTGAAACTATGACTATAGGAGAGTCTATGTGTGATGATCTATATGATGAGAAAGTAGATGAAGAGGCGGAGGAAAAAATGTTGGAGAAATATAAGCAAGAAAGACTGGAAGAGATGTTTCCAGATGAAGTGGATACCCCCCGTGACATGCCTGCTAGAATTCAGTTAGTCAACGAGTCTGAATTCAATCAATAGGTTTTTATTTAAAATGCACTTGGCTCAGAATTATGTCAATGTGATGCAAAAGAAAAAAACTCATTGTTCTTGCTCCTGAAAGGCTAACATTTTATATGGGAAGGCAAGACATACATACAGCAAATAGTAATTTATAATCAAGTTCTAGTCTGTGATACAGACTAATGTTTAAAACTTTAATGAAGGAGAGATACTAAGGTTAATTAGCAAATATATCTTCCTATAGGAGCTGACACTCAATTGAAGTATGTAACGTTTGAAGATTTGGGTGGGGGGAGGGTTGGGTAGAATAGCAGAAATCTAAGCATGAAGGTATAGATGATCATGTCTGCTCTAGAAGTAAGTCTGACTAAAGAAGTTCATGTTGGATATTAGAAAGATAAGGCTATTACCAAGTTCCCTGTTTTTGTCATGTTAAAGATTTCTCTGACAGGCAACAGGGAGCCACTGTAAATATGTCCTTTGTCAGTGAGAATCTTGGGTTTGGTTTTGAAATACTCATTACATACCATTTTGGAATGTAGTCTTGGTTTAAGCTGTTAGGCTGTTTTAGAGATAGTGATTAAAGTTCTTCGAAGCTAGAATCTTAGTCATTTTAGAAGTGACTTAGGTCTATGTAGCACCATATAAATCTGACTTAATTTTTTTAAAATCTTCTTTTGTAGATTTCAAAAATACAGAGGCCTCAAAAGCTTCCGGACGTCTCCATGGGATCCTAAGGAAAACCTTCCTCAAGATTATGCCCGGATCTTTCAGTTTCAGAGCTTTACTAGTACTAGGAAAAGCATCTTTAAAGAGATTGAGGAAAAAGAGGTTGAAGGAGCTGAGGTATCTACCTTCCCTTGTTCATCCTGTAATTTTCTTTCATTTGCCAAAGTGCTCCCTATTTTATTCCTTCTCTTGGCATAAGAATCATACCTTATTTAGTTTTATGTTGCATTAGGGGATCCACTGAGTCATTGATAAAAGTGATATTGGGAACAAAAGGGTTATTAGAGGTATTAAATGGAAAAGTTGAATCTAGGTAATCAAGGCATCATGAAGGGAGTGAGAGTTGGATTTAAAAAGGTAATATGAGAGACTTGACATATTTGGAGAAATGCTTTCTTAGTATTGGGATTTTTTTTTTTTTTTTTTGAGTTGGAGTCTCACTCTTTCGCCCAGACT